GTAGCGAACTTTTGATGCAGTTTACTTTTATTTGATACATAGACCATGGATCCAGAGTCTTGCCCCTAAATTTCAATTGGAAATATTTCGCCAGATTAGATTTTGCAATTTTGCGATTTGCAAGCTTATTTTGCATTTTTCGTAAAAAATGGTTAAGTACACATTTGTAGAGAATTTATTTTTCCCACGTTTTTGATTTTATNTATATATATATATATATATATATATACATATGTACATACGTATTCAGCCTTATCACGAGTTTCATTTTCCCCGAACCGGTTCACTTTTCACTTTTGGTTTCCATGGTTTTACTATGAGTCGGGTGAATTTATTTTTTCAAGCGAAACTCAGAATAAGGCAGATTATAAGGCCATAATATAACGAAAAAAAAAAACAAATAATTTAATCTTTTAAGTTAAGTGTGTATACTAAATTCAACATTATTCAAGAACAAAATTTGACTTTGACTTAGGTACGGACCTATTCGTCCTATGCATAAAAAATTAAAATTATTTTATTCAACACCATTTTCTCTTTTATATGATACACTCCGAAAAAATTCATCCAAATGTATTTCTCTCAACATAATATTTGGAAATTATAACTAAATTATGTAACCATGACCAAATCCTGTGTTGAGGAAAACATTTAATTAGTCAAATTTTTTTCTCAGTGTACCCATTGCACTGAGTTTTTTAATACACATTCTTTTTTTAATTGATCACATCTTTAAAATTCCAAAGTCTTTTTAAGAAAAATTCTGTTTTCAGTTTTACTATTTGGGCCCTAGTTTCGGGAATGTATTAATTTTTTTGTATGTAAAGTTGACTGTCTTATGGTGTTATAGTTACCAAATGTTGTGTTGAGAGAAATGTGGGTATTTAACTGACTTTTTTCTCTGTGTAATAAGATATTAGTGTTTCTTATTTGTTTAATAAAGTAACTTTTTTAAAAATATATATGTATATACATACGTATTAGAATTCGTTTTAAATTGTATTCCTTGAAATGCTTTTATAATTGGGGTATTCACATTTGCCTGGTTATAAAGTGAACTGAGTAAGAAGTATTACCACATAACCAGATAACCACGCAGGTGTGATCACTCCAAATTGCATCACTTTTCGTTCTTAAAATTTTAAAATATATCATGATTCATGAAAATAGAATTTACGGGCTCGCAAAAAAATGAGTTTTCGAATTTATTGTACTTTCTTGATTTGGGCTTTAAATATATAAATTCCTTTTTTTTCTGAATGTATGCGTGTTTTTTTTTTTAATTTGCTTTAATCATATCGACCTCTTTGTGCAAAATTATCGTATGTTACAAAAACCAAATTTTACAGGAAAGTGTTCTTTGTATTTTTCTCTGTTTTAACTAGCACCATTGCCTTTGATCAGTTTTTATGGCAAAAAATCGTTTTTCGTTCTTGGTATGATAGAGGAAACTTTAAATCACATAAAGTTGTATTTTTTTTTTTTGTAAAAAATAGGCGGCCAAAGAAGTTATTTGTGTGTGAAATATTGGAATCGACTTTGTATTCTGTTTTTTTTTTTTAAGTATTTTCTCGAACAACCGTATTTAAGTTAATATTTATCTTGTTGGTAATAATTAATTTTTGCCACAAAAAATCGTCAAATTACCTATACTGAATTGTTAAAATTTTTTTACTACATGAACACGTATAAATACTCTTGCATTACGCTGCATATTTTTGGTGTTATTTTTTGCTATTGTAAAGCTTATTATAGAGAATATTAAATTTTTTTCTTTTTTTTCAATATTATATGAAAACAATTTTTCAAAAAAATTATGCTGGTTTTCCATTGGCAATTGAATGACCAAGTTGGGCATTAAATAGTACCCGTGTGATCAAGTTTGCGATAATAGTCATTAAAGTCTGTTAGCTATGAGCATTTCTTTCAAAATGTACAGCATCCATTCATGTAATTGGAACAGGCCGATGTCTGTACATTATAGATATAAAAAAAAAATAAAATAATATGGGGGTCTTTATTAGACCAACAGAAGCTAAATCAACCATTTTTAGAATCTTTGTCTGTCTGTTTGTCGTACATCACTCGAAAATTAATGGATGGAATTGAATGCAGTTTTCACCGATGTATTGCTAGAGGTCAAACTTAAAATATAGAAAGAAAAAATTTGAGAGTTGCCACCGGTTGGAAAATTCCAGTTTAAGTAAATTGATAAGATAAAGTAAATATTGCAATATGGCTGTCAATAGAAAGAGGTTTAAGAAGGCTTACAGGCAAAAATATTTTTGTGGAGATTGCCACATATTTGACAATTTTAATTTAATTTAATTGATAAGATAAATTCAATATTGCAATATGGTTATCAAACGGAAGAGGTTTAGGCAGCTTTACTGCAGAAAATGTTTTTGCGGAGGGTTGCCACCTGTTACAATATATTACAATATAGGTAACAAACAACACAAAAATACCTTTAAGGCGCAGTGAAGCACGCCGGGTATTTGCTAGTCACCAATAAAATGAAAATGCCAGAAAATGGCAATACCCATTTAACATTTTTTAAAGGTAAAAATTCGACATTAGTTTTTTAAGTTCAAATCTCTCACAAATTAAATACAAATTTTTTTCAACCGTCTTACAGAAAAATTCAAAAATTTAAGTATATCTATCAAATCAAATAGAAAACGCAAAGAAAGCCCGAGAGCGACAGTTAACTCGTACTGTGAAACGCCGATTAGGCATCCAACGTCAAAATATATTTACAATGCACGAAATAAATTTTTGAATACGCAGTCGCATTATACTTTAATTGAATAAGTATTATTCTGCGTTTTCTATATTAAATATTGAATCTAATTACTTACTTATATACTTAAGAACATACATATGTATATGCATTTGCTCGCTCGTTTGTACATATAAATTTATGTGCTATGTGTAAGAAGTTGTAAAGTTTTCTTTAACACACTCTCACTCACAATCATCATAAATGTATTTACATATTTACTACATAAATACTACAAACATATGTATAACTTATTCTGTATTGTTCTCACATTTCCTCTAATTTCTAACATTTATTCTTGCTGTTATCATTATTTGACCATTATTGTTGCATTCCACTATTCTAGTGTGTACCTGTGTTGTACATAAGAGATGCCATAGTTCCGTGGTCACCAAATGTCCAGGCATGCGTGAAGAGGTAAACTCAAATAACTCAAATACTATCCAAAATAGTAACTTATTTAATTATTATTTATATATATTTTTTTTTTTTTTTTGTATCTGTATGCGCTCACAGCAAAATACCATGGAAATGGCGCCGGCCGGTCAGCGCTTCAATGTCAATGTGCCGCATCGCTTTTACGTGCATAACTATAAACGTTTTACGTTCTGCGATCACTGCGGTTCACTGTTGTACGGCCTGATTAAGCAGGGACTCCAATGCACACAGTGCAGCATGAATGTGCACAAACGCTGCCAAAAGAATGTGGCCAATACGTGCGGTATCAATACGAAAGAAATGGCCGAAATACTCAGTTCACTGGGTATTTCACCGGACAAACAGGCACAGCCGCGCCGTTCAAAGGTAATTAGGTAACTTTTACTAAAAGTTTTTGTACTCTATGGGACTGATAATTTTTTCTGTAACTATTTTGAACTTTACGAATGGGCATATCACTAAATAGAAAAGAGAAGGTTCAATCTTTAAGGAAACGATGCAGTTTTGATTGTTCTTGCTTCCAGTGCATGAAAATATACTTTTTTTTAAAAAGTTGAATTAGCAACTTTTAACTCTAATAAGCTAGCGATATGTCATTTCGTCCATATGTGTATGTGTGTGTATGTACGCATGTAGTAATTAAACTCCTTTTGTTGATTTTTCAATTCAGTATTTAAATCAACCGGGTGGCGACGACAGCTACAGCCTAAGCGATCGCAGTGATCAGGGTACTGAGAGCAGCACTTCCACACGCAGCTCGATGATGTCGGAACGTTCGGGCACAAGCTCTTCGACTACTATGGCAGGTCTCAGTTCGTTTACGGGTCAATACTTTGAATCGCGTCCAGGCAAAACTTCCTTATCGGATTTTACTTTCATCAAAGTGTTGGGCAAAGGCTCATTCGGCAAGGTGATGTTGGCCGAAAAGAAAGACACCGAGGAAATTTACGCAATTAAAGTGCTGAAAAAAGATGCCATCATACAGGATGACGATGTCGATTGCACAATGACCGAAAAACGCATACTGGCCTTGGCCGCCAACCACCCATTTTTGACAGCATTACATTCCTGTTTTCAAACTAAGGTGCGTATGAGTAATCTTAATTACAAACAAAAAAAAACAAAATTCACATATCCAAGAGTCAAAGCTATATATGCATATAGCGTTGCAACAACAACAACAAAGGAGATTCCGAAATTATACAATATACACATATGTNAATAAAATTCACATATCCAAGAGTCAAAGCTATATATTGTATGCATATAGCGTTACAACAACAACAACAAAGGAGATTCCGAAATTATACAATATACACATATGTATATGTATGTATTTACATATTACTGATATTTTTTCTGTTTTCAGGATCGTCTATTCTTTGTCATGGAGTATGTGAATGGCGGCGATTTGATGTTTCAGATACAAAAAGCACGTCGCTTTGAAGCCGCACGCGCTGCTTTCTATGCCGCCGAAGTAACGTTGGCACTTCAATTTTTGCACTCTAATGGGGTTATTTATCGTGATTTAAAGCTGGATAATATTCTTTTGGATCAGGAAGGTCATTGCAAATTGGCTGATTTCGGCATGTGCAAGGTAATATTCATATCGTAATCATTATGTGTTGAGAGAAATGTAGTAAAGTATTTATACTTTCATACAATTGTAGTATCCTTTTAAGTTTGAGTGTAATCCTTTGAAAATTTGTTTATTAAAACAAAACTGCAAGGTATTTTTAATCAACTTTAAAAACAAAGTAGGAGGTTATCAATTCGTAGGAATATTTTTTTTTATGTATGGTACCGCATGACTTTGGACCACGTTAACCCATTTCTAGAATTCCTTTTTTTTTGAAGGAAAGGTGGTCCTATACTAATTTGTATGTACATATGTACATATGTATTTGCTGTGACTAAAATTGTATTTTATTTTTATATTTTTTTCTACTTTAGGAGGGCATTATAAATGGTGTTCTAACTACCACCTTTTGTGGCACTCCNTAATTCCTTTTTTTTTGAAGGAAAGGTGGTCCTATACTAATTTGTATGTACATATGTATTTGCTGTGACTAAAATTGTATTTTATTTTTATATTTTTCTACTCTAGGAGGGCATTATAAATGGTGTTCTAACTACCACCTTTTGTGGCACTCCCGATTATATCGCGCCTGAGATATTAAAAGAGCAAGAATATGGTGCCTCTGTCGACTGGTGGGCGTTAGGAGTGCTAATGTATGAAATGATGGCCGGACAACCGCCATTCGAGGCTGACAACGAGGATGAATTATTCGATTCGATTATGCATGACGATGTACTCTATCCAGTGTGGTTATCTAGAGAAGCAGTGTCCATTTTGAAAGGTATGAATTAATAAATAATAAAATGTCTTAACGATACACACGAAAAAAAATTTACTCCAACATTTAGGGTTCCTAACGAAAAATCCCGAAACCCGTCTGGGGTGCTCCGGTGATGAAAACGAGATACGTAGACATCCATTTTTCGGTAAATTAGATTGGGATGAGCTGGAAAAGCGCAATATTAAGCCNAGTGTGGTTATCTAGAGAAGCAGTGTCCATTTTGAAAGGTATGAATTAATAAATAATAAAATGTCTTAACGATACACACGAAAAAAATGTACTCCAACATTTAGGGTTCCTAACGAAAAATCCCGAAACCCGTCTGGGGTGCTCCGGTGATGAAAACGAGATACGTAGACATCCATTTTTCGGTAAATTAGATTGGGATGAGCTGGAAAAGCGCAATATTAAGCCACCGTTCCGACCAAAAATGGTAAGCATTTGTTTTTCAACCACAAAATTATGTTAATATTTTTTTCGTTTTAAAATAATATTAATCAATTGTGCTTTGTAATGCAGAAAAATCCACGTGATGCCACCAATTTCGATACAGAGTTCACAAAAGAGGAACCAGTACTAACACCTGTTCCCAACGATGTTATACGCTGTATTAATCAGGACGAATTCGCCGGATTCTCATTTGTCAATCCGAAATTCGGACCCGAACGTAAAGTATTTTAAGTGGTTTTGTGTGTGTGTGTGTGTGCGCAGGCGCCTAAGGGGTTTATAAACTTTTATTCAAAAAAGGAAGAGCAGAAACAAACGCAAAACCAAACAAAAGGTTCAAACTTAAAGCGATACACCTGCAAAGACAGCAGTAAAAAGCAAATTGTACTACTTTATTATGATTTTGTTAGTTTGGAATAAGTGTGAGCATACCCACATACATACATACGTCATACGTGCGTGTACTTAGGAAAGCCGGACGTAGTCATCGTACGGTAATCGCCTAATGGGACAAATACATTTCAGCATTTGAATTGTTCTTTAATTTTTTTTTATTAAATTTGATTGCCGAGATTTGTCTAAGTTCTATGCTTCATCCTACATGAGTATGTGTGTGTATGTGTGTGCACATTTTGTGGCATTTTGTTTTTTTTTCATGCTGCTCTTATGTGCAGCTGCCCGCGCGTTATAAAATTGGTCCATATTTTCACCAAATGAGAAAGGGGACCCAAAAAATGCGTAAACGCTTGTTAACGCAACAAACTCCACTCGTAGTATTCGTTAGGTAAAAGAAATAAATCTATTAACCCGTTATGAAAAAGGAAAGTTTTAAAGTAATAAAAAAATATATATTTAAGAAACTGCAACACGCAGAGAACACAAATCTGCAAGATAATTAACAATAAAAATCAAAAGCAACCAAAAAAACTCTAACTACTATGCATTGTTTAGGTTTAAGCATTTCGATTTTGTTTTTTTTACGTAATTTTCTATTATTTTCTGACTGTACGTCTAATTGAAAAGCCACTTTAATAATGCGAACAAACTATTTTTAGCAATGCAATTGGAATTTTGGGTATTATGCACGACGGATAATAAACTTATGAAATCTTAAATTTTAAATTTTCGTACTACGTCATACTTAGCATTGGTAATTTTTTTCTAAAACATTGAGCATCTTCAAGCAAATATTAAGTACACGTATATTTAATTTTCTTTAGTCCCCAGAGGCGCTCAATTGATAATTAATTAAATTAGAATTTAAATTCTTTCCAAAGCTCATACAACTTTCAACAGCGATTTAGCAAAACAAAAGTGTTGTCGCTCCTCACTGCTGAGGAGATTTTCTTCAGTAGAATAAAAAAAAAAAAGATTTGGTAGCCGTAGCCAATTCATATGTTGAGTGAAACATATTTAGTTAAGTTGAACTAAGCTCGTTTCTCAGTGTATGTTAAATCGACCTACGTGGCGCCCATCATAACGTTTCATGTGGATGTGCAACTGTATTTGCTCCTTGTGCATATCTACGATTTTCCACCAAGCGTGTCTTGTAGGCTATTTTCTAAGTAAGTTAAAAGATTGTGTTGTTTTCTAATTTTAACACTGTTACTCAAACAGTATAATGTGCTATTTTAAAAATTGTGTTGCCACAAACAAAAGTACATATCTGTGTTCGTATCGAACAGTGGCTTATGTCGAAAGGCTGGCTTT